TATATATATATATATATATATACATATACACACACATATATGTATATATATATGTATATATATGTATATATATGTGTGTGTGTGTGCGCGCGTGCGCGCGCGCGTGCGTGCGTGCGTGCGTGTGTGTGCGTGCGCGTGGATGCACGCTATCAACTGCCATTTACTACTGTCACTATTGTTGATCTCCAGACGGACAACATCGTTTGCTATTCGCAACCTTTCTCCAGTGTTTTTTAAAATTATTTTTAACGTGGTAATGTTAAACTGCATTTTTAACCTTGACTACATAGAAGGTTGTTTAGAAAATGAAGATGACAGTTATTTATGGCAGACAATACATTAAACGTGACTTGACGTGAATTGTATGACATTAGAATTAGATCATTTTACTTCGATACGTTTTATTTAAACATCGATAGTTTAAACTGACGATTTTGTGGATGTTTTCGTCGCCATCGCAACCCTTTCGCTGGGAATGCTCCGTGACTGGACGCACCGCGGTCGTGGGCGCGCGCGGGGTCGCAGGCGGCGGGGGCGAGGCGGGCGAGGCGGTCGAGGCGGGCTTCGTGCGCGCGCGAGGCGTCCAGCAGCTGCTCGAGGCGGCGGTCGGCGGCGGCGCAGCAGCGCGCGGCCTGCGCGGCGTCCGCGGCGCTCTGGTGCTGCGCGGCGGCGGAGGCGTTGGCGGCGGCGCGCACCGCGCCCTCCAGGGCCTCCAGCGCGCGCGCCGTGCGCTTGAACGGCGACGTGAGGCGCCGCCACAGCCTGCGCGCCAACAGAGCGGTGGCACCCGCTTAAACGCCCATTCACAACACAAGCGTAACGCATACACACAAACTGTAACATAAGTCATAGGCTGAAGTATTCACAATGTCAGACATAAACGTAAGCGAAATAAGATTTTTATTGTCTGTGGGACATTCTAGTTTACTACTGGTTGGTTATGAGAATCGGGTTCGTAGGCTCCCGCGGCCTGAGTCAATACGTTCTTGGCTATTCGGGATGAGCTGCGTTTCGGACAATTGTGCTGCGGTTTCGGCCAACTTGCTGTGGCCTTCTCCAGGGCTGTAATGCTGGATAGCTCTGAAGAAGGTCACAGCAAGATGGCCGAAACCTCAGCACAATTGACGGAGACGCGTCTCATCCCGGATAGCCATGAATGGATATGAGAATCGTTTTCGAGGTATCGACTGTGTCGATGGTACATTGCGTTAGTTCGTCTATCAACTTCCATCCTATTTCGATAATCGATTTTGAGTTAACGTACTGGTGATTGATTTATTTCTTACTTAAACAGAAGTACGGAAGCTTGAAGTTTGCAAGATGTAAAGTTAACGTTTTACGTGTTATGCTTATGCAAACGCATTGTGAGTCCACTTATGTTAGACGTAGTCCAAACTTTTATGTTAACGCCACTTCTAAATTATTTTTGTTTGCATTGCGCATGAGCCTTTACACGCTCCATTTTGAGGTGCGATTTCTGGAGTTTGAGCAAACGCGTGCTTGCGCTTTCGGGGCGACACGACTGCTCTGCGCATGCGCACATTCGGTAAACTCCCGAAATCGTTCGTCAAAAGAAAGCATGGAAAACTGGTTCTAAACATGTGCCAAGTGACCTAGTTGGATAGTTCATAAATATGCTAAACATTACGTACATTTTAATTATACAGATAGTACCTCAGACTAAATGTAACATACTTCTAGGACCTGTTGAGGGTTTGTCGATCACATTTTGTCAGTGAATATGTAATGGGAAGTTTCTGATATCCAAATGAATATGTGACATTTGCTCCTGGTATGTAGGCAACCCTCCATGCACTGATGTTTGGCAGGTCACGTTCTGTCGCATTCAAAGAGCATTCGTATACCCGCAGAAAACGATTGCACGAGGTTGACAATCAGAGGGAAATGACATGTGTTTAACTAAGTTACATGAAATTTCCCACCTCGTGTTTACAGAAGGTGAACATTTATTTTGAGACACCTGTATATCAACAAAAATGATTGTGAAATGAACAAATATTTAATATTTTAATTAGGGTTCCAAAACATCAATACTTAAGTTCAAAATTTTTTCCTCACATAAATGAAAACAAATAATTTTAAATTATATTTATTTTTTTATCGTTACGTTGTTGCTTGTTATTGCCTTCAATAAGGAGTTTGATATTCACTGGATAACTTACCTGGATTGAGAGGATCGTGATTATGAGGGAAACATAAACACAGTAGAATCGGAGGAACGGAGGGAATTATGAAAAGTTTTTTTGGGGGGGAGGAGGATGGATATGAAATGACGAACCGAGTCAAGTTAACAACTAGTTAATTAGTAAATAAGTAGATAAGAAACAATTAAAAATAGGTAAAAAATAAAATCATGTACCAAGGGAGAAAAAAAGCCCCGGCCTTTTAGTACCCGTTCAATCATTAGAACCCTTTGAGCGTCTTAGTATACATATGACTATTATATTCTATATATTGTTGTAATACTCACTTTCTAATCACGGATTTACTAGTGTTATTTTCTTATTCGTTTTCATAATTAAGCCTCTATGGCTCAAGGGCAATCCCATTGGGTATTAGCTTCCCATGGGGTTCAATTCCCGGTAGATATATAAATAGAGTTTGAAGCTTTTCTTTAAAATCGTTTCAGTTTCTGTAGCTGTGTGACGAAGAAACGATCAGGTAGTCGGAGGTTGATAGTTACGGGGAATATGTCATATTCGCCAAATGTTTCTCTTAACCCCAAGCATGGGGGGCATCATTAGCTAGCGGGCAATGTCAACCCAAATATGAAAAATACATAAACTTATATAACTTATTTTCAATATTTCAATATTATAAGAGGCGCAATAATTTGGTTGCGCTTTAAACCCCATAAGGTGTTCACCCAGCGCTGACGTAATAACATTGTTTAATATTGAAACTACATAATTCCTTGTCTATGGACTTATCGCACTGGAAGCTTCTCCCCGCAGACCCTCCCCTGACTGCGACACACTCACAGCATGCTACCGTGCTGCACACTCTCTTGCACTGCGGTAAGAAGAGTCAGCAACCAAAGGCATCGCCAGAAGAAATAACGACGAATCCTCTCTCTGTCGCCTTATTAGCCTCCCACGCGCTTCCTCTATCTGCAAATGGGTTTCGACGTGGTCCTGTTATTAACGTGCGACACATAATTTCTGAAATCTATTAGAATTCAAATGGGAAAAGGGCGCCCTTCAGATTTCAAGTAAGGAGGGAGCGGCTATATCTTCCCAGTAGCTGG